CCGGACCGGCCGTACGATCCGGAAGTGCGGTTCTGCGGCGGACCGGCCCCCGTGAGCGGCGGCGGCGACGACTACCGGCAACGGATGATGCGACGACTGCGCGACGGCTTCCGGGCGGCGGCCGACGCGGCGGCGGTGGGCTACGATTACGAGCCGCCTAGGTGCGGCGCCGCGCACGTGCTGGTCGACGTGCCCGCCGGCGAGGTGGCCGGGCTGATGGGAGAAGCGGACCGGTCGGCCGCCGGGATGCTGCCGCCGGGCTACTGCTTCGACCTGACGCCGTCCGAAGAGCTGGTGGCCAGGACGTGCCGGCCGCGCGACCAGTACTGCGACCGGGGCGGCCGTTACACGTGCGTCAACAAGTGCTGCAAGGGCGACCGGATGATCGTCGCCGAGTAAGTCCGCGGCGTTTATAAGTGTATAGCGTGCGCTTACACCGAGTGTACCAGCTGTAGCCGAGGCCGTGGTTGGAGGGGTAAGGATGTGACAGAGGACGGGGCAGTTGCCCCGAGTGACGACGAGTTGTAGGACTCTCATATGCTCACAAATGACATTTCTTAGGAGTACATTGATGAGAAAACGATATTTTCAAATGTCACGTCCCTTCCGTCTTAGAACTTTCCGTCCTATGGTTCAAACGTATAGTATCGTTTGTTTTGCAAACATTGAAACAGTGTTAGTTGTTTTATTATTATTATTATTATTTTTTTTTATTTTTTTTTTTTGAGACAAGTAAGACGATATCCTTTTATTAGAGACGACACCATAAAACTTGTTCCAATAGTCAACGCTACACGCGCTTAATGTATAGGTATTAGATACGCATATGTTACTAATAGTGTTTTTAATCAATCTCTCCGACGCAGTTTCACACTACATGTGCAAATATTTTAAAAGATTTTAGCTTGACGATTTTTTTATTTTTATCAATATTTTATATAATTGTTCTGTTTAGTCATCAAATTAAGATTAGCTTAAATAAATAAATAATATGGCCACTGAAAAAACTTTGGTGTCGATTATCTATAATAAATAAATATTCACAGGTAAACATTTACACGTATTTGTAAACATATCATACTTAAAATTTGAAGAATGATATTAAACAAAATATAAATAGACTTATTTAAAGGATTGCTCGAGTTTGAAACAAAGTCCATAATTTTCCATCCATTCAAAGTTCAAACACATAAGACATGCAAACATCTTAATCCGACAATCTATCTAGTTCGTCTATTTATTTTCAGTATTTTTCAGTTTTGATTTTTCGTCAGTAATAATTTCAAGGAACATGCATCAATGGTTTATTGTAATAATATTATAAACTTCTCTGAGCCGACAATTCGTGTTCACTCTATTTGTAGGATGGTGTTTGATTAGTCAGAATCCAATAGTCACGCATATAACGATTAAGAGAAAGCATTAAATAGTTGCTGAATTTTCTTATTTTGCATAAATTATTTTATGTATACTGTAATAATATATACTTAACAGTACCATATGATTTGTACAGAATGGGCTACTATAGTTTTCAAAATGATACGTGTCCGGAATGCAGTGTAATAAACAAAGATGCCGTGAACTATTTTACTGGCGCAAATAGTAATAATACCACTCTACATTACAGTAACCACTATATTTCCAACAACTGACGCTAGAAATAATAAGACTGTCTGTATATTTTATAGACAAAAATTGTTGTAATCATTAAATGTAAAAACATAGGTACCTAATGTTCTTTAACAAAGTTCATTAAAGCGTACTTAAACTAAACATATAATATTATATTTTATGTAATTATACATTTTTATTTTAAAGTCTCATATTTAAGCATCAAATATCATTAAATTTAATACAATGAAAGAATAAAATTGTAGCAAAATATATTTTAATCTTTAGTTATGGTAATGTTAGTAGCGGTTACAGTATAAAATATAGTGTTATTTCGTGAATATTTTGATACTTATGTCTTTATACACTAATCGTGTAAAGAAAAAGTAAACCGTATAATTTATAATTTAATCAGATATTTTATTAATTCCAAGCAATTGTTCAGCTATAGGTATTGTGTGTACATTGGAAGTATAGTTAGATAAATGAGATTTCAAACACGTGAACTAGTTGGTGTCATTTTAGTTATCGATAACAGGTACGACGATCAAATTTATTATTTTATAAAATAATGAAAATATGATAACATTAAAAATAACATTCAAGAATGGTTACTGTTAGTCTAGTAATTTCACCAAGTCGATCTTGTAAAAATAAAATATTGTTATTCCACTATTAACAAGCTTTCAAATTAATAAATTAACTTAATTTTAAAAATATACAAATCATATTATAATAATATAATAATAATAATTAATATTGTAAGTATTTTAATATTTTTATATTTTCATGTATTCATACTGAAATTTTCAATTTATTAATGTACCTAACTTTTTTCTCTAATTTCATTTATCTTAAATATTTGGAAAAATATTTCAAGTATAAAATATACAATTATTCCAGAATGTATTCAATATTTTTAATATATTTACATTTACTTTTTAACTAGCTATTGATGTGCGTATATTTTAACTATTTTTAATTAAGGATTGTATAGAATAACTAGTTATTTAATACAATTTATAATCATAAATTACAATTTGATTTTATTGTAAATACCTACTTTGACTAAAAGCAATTTTTAATTATTATATAACGAATTGCATATCTACTTAAACAATAACATATTATACATGGTTATTATGTATACAATTGCAGTGTGTCTACATCATATTTATAAACAAATGAAAGAAACTTGGTCGATTTAAGTAGCATTATGTCTCCTACAGGATACGCCTCTTCTTCTATTATTTTCCACTGTACACATTGATTATATTAATATGGTATGAAAGGAGATTTGATAGTAACCAACTGCATGTTTATCTAATAATATATTAGATAAACATATATATTTATATGTTTATTATAATAAATGGGAGTACGTGGGTATACCCACCGGGTCCCTTGAGTAAAATATTAAAACTCGTACGTACCTACTGGGCTTTATTATTGCACACTGATATTATGCCGAAATGAGGTAATAATTTGTATTGCATATATTATGCGGTTTAGTGGTTTCTATGCGATAAAAATAAATATTTTTATCATATAATAATAATATGATAACTTAAATTTAAATTTATTATTTTCTAAACTTAAATTCACTTTTAAATAATATTATTACACAAAGTCGTAATTATAATGAAAGTAAGGATGATTTGAAAGAGTTAAAATAGAAATAACATAAATAATATTAAAATAAAATATTTTAAATTATGGTATATAACTATGTACTCGATTTAATTTTAAAATAAAATAAAATGTATACAATTGTATACGACAACATACCTTGCACCGTGTAAGGAACGAATCAACCAATAAATGTGGTTTGTAGTAGAATATCTATATAATATATGGATAAATAACATTTTCATGCGTAATCCGGTCGCTATATTATACGAATATCTACTACAAACCATTATTGATTCATTAAACTCTGATCATTACAGTAATATCCCAAATTAATCAGAATACATAGTCTCACTACATAATTTAAATATTTTATTACAACGACAATCTCCTCTATTTAACTCAAAATCATCCTTACTAAATATAATTTGATAATAATAATATTTAATAATTAAGTTAGAAAATAATAAATTATTAGTTATAGCAATATTATTGTATGTTAAAAATATTTATTTTATCATAAACTCATAAGCTACTAATAGCAATAAGTATTTTCTCATTTCGACATATCAGTGATATCTGTTTCCAATAAGCTGCGTAATTCTTTTACTCAAGGACCCGGTAATTGATGCGCATTGTAATAAACATATAATGCTATGTTTGTCTAATATGATGACCAGATAAACATGCGGTTGGTTCTTCCTTTACCATATATTAACTGTGTCGTATTTTGATGAAACTCTTCAGAAGAAAACATCGCTGGAAGACATAATGCTGCGTTCTCCGACCTGCATTGTTTATAAGCTATATGTAAAGATTTACCTGCAATATATACATAATAACTTAACCGTATATGTTAAATATGCAATTCGTTATATAATTGCTGTCAAGAAATAGTATTTACAATAAAACAATTAATAACCTGTTTTCAAGGCCAGCGGTAAATAACTGAACGTATACAATCCTTAATTAAAATAATTAAATACCGCTGATTAAAAGCAAACAACAAGCACCATCAAAAATATTGGTACTGGAGATAGTGTACCTTCAACGAAATGACACTGCAAATATTGGTAAAATGAAATTAGAAAAAGTTGAACACATTAATAAATTGAGCTAAATGTAAACCACATGTATAAAAATATTAAAATACTGCAATATTAGTATGGGCCCCAACATATTTTAAAGTGAATTATTTGACAATTTGAGCATAATGAACTCTTTAATATGACCTTTTATTTTACAAGATCGACTTTATTCAGTATATGATGACAGCCTTCATTCTTGTCTTGACACTTTAACTCGACCCATCTGCTTTTCATTATTTTATAAAATAAATTTGATCGTCTTATTCATAAATAACTAAACCATTTCCGCTGTTCCTGCATGTTGAAAATCTTTCATTTATCTAACTACTACTTCCAGTAACCCTCTTCGAACAATTAACAATTAATAAAATATCTGATATAGTATACCGGTTTTTGCATCTTTACGCGATGGTGTGCTAAAACATGAAGTAAACCTATGAAACTCGCCTATATTCACTGGCAACAACACTAACTGATACCATAACTAAAAGACAAAACTATATTTCTTTACTGACCTACTTCTTTCATTGTGATGCAATGACTTTGATAACTGCATCGCTGAACTTTAAATAATGACCCATAAAACTCTCAACTCAATATGTTCCAGATTTAAGTACCTTTAATAATTTTGTTAGGCATTTATGTTTACATTTATGATTACAGCTAATTTACCTTATAAAATCTTCAATTTCGTCTAGCGTCGATTGTTAGTATAGTGTTTACGCTAATAAGTATTCGACCAACCATATTTGCCAATCATAATTCGCAATCATCTTCACGACCACGCATTCAGCACCTAGAAAACTTATGAGCAACCCCATACTATACAAATCATATTACTATTACAGTATATATTATTATTATACATAAAATAAGTATGCATAGAAAATTCAACTAACCTATGTTTCTCTGTCGTGCATACACTGACAGATTATATCCAACAACTCACGGCATCTACAAAATAATTAATTTCAATTATTCGACTCAGTTATAATATGTGCAATAAACCATTGATATTCACTGTCTGAAAGCAAAATCAGACAATTCAAATAATTGATAAACTGAATATGTTGCTGTTA